AATCTAAATATCCGCTCTTAACAATAGCGCTAGGAATAGCAATAGCACTCAGACTTATATACCACCCCACATTGCTTTACAACATTCTCTAAGCAGATTACAGAGTCAGCATATTGTCCTCAACAATCTGGGTCCTCATTTTATTGACCTCAGAAGGATGGAGTCAACTTGAGCCCCATCAAGACTGAACTGTAGACTGTGGGCAGACTTTGCTTGCAATACTGTATTCTAACCACCAGGGGTTAGACTGATCCATCCATCAGCACACTCATTTTTAATTTTTTACTGCAGTTTTAACCACTGCAGTATCATTAATTTATTCAGGACTCAAGAATGGGAAATTTAACCTAGCAAATTAATGGAATATATATTTTACTGCATTTTTACCTTCAAGCATCTGTGACTGCTGCTGAGATTATTGGATGTCCTCAGCAGCTCCCATGTAATCCTGGAAGAAGATTTGTTTGGTTGAAAGACTTAGAAAGAAGTGCTGCTTTCCTGATCCTGCATTCTCCAAAGGATCTCTTTGCCTTTAAATTACAAAAGTTACACAATCCTGCAGATTACAATGTGCAAAGTTAGCCATGATGTGAATTCAGTGGTTGCCACCAATAAAAGTCTCCTAGTAATGTGTTTTAAAGGAAAGACATTCCTGATATCATCATTCTCTCCTTTTCCCAAATAACCAACTGCTGATTCTTCTGTCTCCTTCCCAAAAAGCTGGATGCTTTTAAAAAAAGCACATGTAATAATTTACAATGGTTTTACAACTTTGTGAAAAATTGCGGAGAGCTGGGTTTAATGGCATCCTTTACATATAATTAGCATAACATTCTTTCTCGGTGTCCAATATATACTCTCTAAAGTGGGGTTCACCAAAGTGACCAATATTGACCCCCAAGAGACAGTGCGATTATATATTATTGTTATGATGAAGATGATGATGATGATGATTAGTTAACATAATATGTATTAAATCATTTTAATGTAATGTTTCTGGGTCAATGAACAATGTGAAACTTCAAAAGGAGTTGATGAACTGAAACATTTGGGGACTCTTACTCTAAAATTTTTATATACTTCTGGAAAGCAAGCTTATTTTGCTTACATATCAGCATTCGACATATTGCAGCTAAATGTGTGAATGGGCTCGCTGAGAGGTTCTCTCTGCAGTGGGTGATATCTGGTAGTGGATTCACCTGCCCAGTTCACCATATTGTTGCAGTCCTCCTGTGATCAAGATGAATATGTCTCAGGAATTCTTTGCAGTCATCATCTCAAACACTTGGAAGAGGAGTAGTAGCTAAGGTCACTACTACAAATGCCTGCCCTTCAGACTCTCTCTCTATATATATATAAGCCATGATTGAAATAATGTATCTGTCACTTTAAATGCTCAAGTGATATGTGATTGGATGCTGTTGCTTTAATCAGCCATAAGAGGGAGTAGGAACTACTA